GGCGCCGTTGAGTTTTGACAATGTGTTTTCCGTAGATTTCGTTGTGTGGCTTCGACAAATAGCAGAACACCAAGTAGCCACTGCACTTGTTTCCCAAGAAGCCTTTCCGGCTCTTGAGGCCGACGAAGAACCCTTCGATCAGGTGGAAGAACCGCGCGATTTCGCTTTGATGGACCCCTCCGAGGAGGCCATCGAGGAGGAAACTCGCCTCGACAACGTCGATTTGCGGGGATTACCCATAGAGGAATCCGAGCGCCGCGCGAAATGGCGAGCAGTGCCACAGCGGATACGCATAGCGATCCGACGGCTACATCGCCAGTTCGAGTTCGGCCATTGCCCTAAGAAGGTTTTAGTTAACCTCTTAAGGACCGCTAGAATCGATAAGTCGTATATAGAGGCGGCTCAATTTCATAGGTGCAATGAGTGCGAAGACGCACAGCCCCGTAGGAACGCGCACACAGTATCCATGCCGGAACGGTATTCCTTCAATCACGCCCTAGGTATTGATATCTTCGAATGCTTAGATGCACAAGGCACTAAGTACCAAGTTATGAATATGGTGTGTTTAGGGACGTGTTTTCAGCTTGCAGAGACCGTACGCGTAGGCGACGGGTTGCCTTCATCAGCCCGGTGTCTAGAGGCCATCCAACGCCGTTGGACAGCATGGGCTGGTATGCCGGCGATCATACGGTGCGACCGTGGTCTACATAATCGCGGGGTACTAGCGCAGTTCTGCGCGGCTCATGGCATCCAAGTATACCACGCGCCATTAGAAACACCCGAGTCGATTGGCCGAGTGGAACGCCACGGCGGGATCCTGAAGGCGATGACTAGAAAGGTAGTATCGCAAACACAGGCCGTAGGCGAAGTGGCATTACAGACAGTCTTGGATGAGTGTTGTCTCACCAAGAATAGCATGCTGAGACATGGAGGTTACTCCCCATCTCAGTGGGTACTCGGGAAGACACCGCGAGGACCTCCATCTCTAGTAGAGGAGGATAACACCGCCGATCTTGGATCGTTAAACGACCAAGTTGATCCCGAGAGTCGTTTTGCCCTAATCCATCAGGCTCGGACGGAAGCCAAGAAGGCTTTTGTCCATTTGGACACCTCGAAACGCGTGCAGCGTGCACTTCTCAGGAATGCGAAACCGCTGCCGTACACGTACTCGGTAGGAGACGTGGTTTGCTTTAGGCGGGATAAAACAGGTAAAACTGTTTGGTCTACCGCGTCTAGAGTAATCGGTTTTGAGGGTAGCCAGAACGAGAGCGTGTGGGTTTTGTGTCAGAACGTACCGGTTCTAGTGTCCGCACAGAATCTTAGGCCTGCGCAAGATGCCGAGGCACTTGCACACGCAGTTCTCCAAGGGGAACCCGTGCTGCCAGAAGAACTGGTGCGCGGACAGCAACACTTCGAGGATCTCAGAGATGCACCTGGTGGTGACATCGATGATGAGGAGCCCGAAGAAGGACCTTCGGAAGGTACACCTCAAGAGGAAGTCGAAGAACCATCCTATGGTCTTCTGGACGGCCCAGGACCACTCTCATCAATCTTCGAGGATGAGGAGATGAATGAACAACCAGAGCGACCGGAGAGAGGTAGATCTAGGTCACCTCCACCAGCATCATCTTCGAGGTCCCGACGGGTCAGTACAGCTGAACCCGAGGCAGAAAGAACCCCTAATCCTAGCAGGAGAGGAAGCAGATCAGACCTCCTGGATGATCTGCCGGCTCCTATTAGGTCACGTTTTGAGGAACGTAGACGCGAGGAGGAAGCAAACGTGAGTATTCGACAGAAACTCCGTGGCTTTTGGTCTAACCGGTTCTCTTCCAGAGAACAGGTTGAGCAGGAGCTCAAGGACCTCCCCGAGGCCTTGAAATACTGGGAATGCACCCCAGCAGTCCGCCTGCGGATCGATGGATCACGCGCTAAGGAATGGAAGAAATATGAGGATTTTCAAGCGGCAATTCCGCTGAAAGGAGCGCAGCTTAAGGAACTATTAGACGCCGGTCATACGCCGATACCATCTAAATGGGTCGACACTATTAAGAACTATCATGAACGTCTTAAGCCGGATTATGAACCTGAGTTCAAATCCAGACTGGTGTCCTGTGGAAATTTTGAAGATTCCACAGAGGTTCGCACGGACGCGCCAACCTCAGACCTCGAAACGCATGGCCTAGTATCAGCGTTCGCCGCATCCAATGGAGTCCCTGTAGAATCGTCAGATATTCGCAACGCCTACTTTCAGGCCGAGCCAATAGACAGGGTTGTACTTATGAGACAACCTGGCGGAGGACTTCCAGGAGTGGATCCGGAAGCGATGCTCCTGATCAGAGTACCGGTATACGGACTCTGCGATAGCGGCAGAGGATTTTGGAGGAAAGTCGACCGAGAAGCACGTGAAGTCGGCTTCCAGGTAAGCAGGATTTTCCCTGCATTTTACTTTTACCGCGCCGCCGGAAAAGTAGTCTGTGTCTTGACAACACATGTCGATGACTTTTTATGGGCATCGATAGGCAAGGGCGGAACTATCATAGATAAGCTCCTAAAGAAGTTCGAAGTAGGCCGCCGCGAGTCGGGAAGACTACGCTTCTGCGGTAAGCAATTCGACATATCTGGAAAGGACGTGTTAATCGACGTTACCGATAACACGAACAAGATCACCTACATTGATGTCAAGGCAGGAAGGAAACACTCGGATCTTATTGACCGAGGTGAAGAACGTCAACTACGTTCTGTAGTCGGCAGCCTTTCGTGGATTTCTAGGCAAGCTAGGCCAGATATCCTATACCGCGTATCGAAGCTTCAGAGCTCGATAAAAGGTGCAACTGTTAGCACTCTTCATGAGGCTAACAAGGTCCTAGAACTTGCCCTAAAGGGTCGCGATCTTAAGTTAAGATACAAAAATGGTGCTTTTGATTTCGAGAGCCTGGGCGTACTGACAGCCTCAGACGCTAGCTTTGCGGGTGAAAAGGAGGACCGATCCCAACAAGGACGGATCCATTTTCTCGCTCCAGCTGCCCAGCTTCGCGATCCAAATTGTAGTCGTTACGACACAATGATCGTGTCGTTCTCATCTACCACAATCAAAAGAGTATGCAGAGCAACTCTTCAGGCTGAGACTTACGCACTCCAAAGTGCCCAAGAGGCAGGGGATCGCATAAGAGCAGCCCTAGCCGAAATCTACGGATTCGGTAGTAGTGGTCCCGATTGGGAACTTCGTGCGAGAACACAGGTTCCGCACATAGCGCTGACGGACTGCCGCAGCTTAGCCGATCACCTCAACACGGAGGCTCCGTCCCGTGTGCAAGACAAACGATTGCAAATCGAACTTAGCGCTCTTCGCCAGTCTATCTTTACAGAAGACGGTAAGCGCACGGTTGAAGCTTACCCTGCGGGTGGAGATAGAGTGGACTGGGTCGATACAGCCACTCAAGCCGCTGATTGTTTCACAAAGTCCATGAAACCGGATTTCATCATAAAGGTGATTGAATCTGGTGAGTACAGCATTAGTCGAGCTAAGCTGTAGACGTAGATTGCAGACGCTACAATCGTGGGCATACGTTGTATGTACCATAGTAGCTGAGTCGGTGCTAGGGTAGCATGCAGACACCACTTCCGGAGGACAATGCCTATTGTACCTCATGTGGTTAATTTAGATTTTCCTCGATGTCATGGCATGAGAACAGGTTGAGTGTGAATGCACCCTCTGTTGTACATGTACAGGAAGCCATGGCCATGACATGCATGTGTTAACTATATATATTTCCCGCTGCCGTTAGGGCCCTTGAGTCATATTCAGATAGCTTCGCAGTCGGCGAAAAGATCCACCAGTTTTCTCAAACGTTGTCTCGCGGAGATTCCGATGCGCTCAGGTTCGCAAAAATGCTTGCGCAGCGACCCCAGCTTGTCTTCCAGCTGGCCCGAGCTCCGCTTGGATGCACGCAGTTTCCTTTCCGATGGTTGTCGTTGTGGCCGAGTGATCTCATGTCAGAAATCCGATCATGTGCCATGGAGATGAAGTGTTAGTTGCCAAGCACGAGCTTTCAAGCCGCGGGCCAGCGAGCATGCCGCTGTAGTGGTGCCACAAAGCCAAGCGGCAAAACTTTCTGCAGATTCTCATTCACAGATCTGGGGTTTAGGGACACTGAGAGCCATGAAGCGGGCGAAGCGAGATGCCAAGAAGGAGGAGAAAGAGAAGAAGGCCGCCCGATAGAAGCTATGCTTTTTCCTTTGCCACCTAAAACTCCACACCTAAGCAACCCGAAATATCACACAGCGATGCAGGAGGCTTGGACTGGGTGACAGATTGGTATCATAGTTGTTTTGCTTCGATTTGTCCGGAGGATTGTAGCGCTAAACACGCCTACTATATCTTTTATTCCTACTATGTTTTAGAGGTGTTGTGTTTGCATCATTAAACTTTTTCGTGACAGGCCTCCAACAAGGCCGACCAACAGATCAGACGGGCACTCAGATGAGTCATTTCGTAACGGCAAGCCTTTTCCTGAGATCATCAGGACGTCATCAGGCTTGTTATAGAAATTTCAGATTTCAGGGTCCTCGCGCAGCCAAGTCTTGGTCTGGTCTGAGGAGGATTCTAGCTCCCAAGAAGCGACCCCTGAGTTTTATTGCAAAAGGCCGATCGGACTTCCGAATCTGCGCATCTGCTCGATTACCCGACATCCCATGTCTTATGCGGTAGAAGCAAAATCCAAGCTAAAACGTCATCCTGGCCTTTTGTTGGATGTTTCGATGGAGGCAGGACACGAGGACCCCTCAAGCGGAGAACACCGAGCCCAGGACCTCCTTCACCCCAACCCTGATCGAGGAAACAGCAACGCCTTCCGGGGCTTCCAACATGAACTTCACGTCCCTCATCCCAAGACCTCCCAATAGAAGACGCCAAGCCCCTGAAGCCTCAAGCGTAAATCCCAAGGCGCCCTAAAGAGACACCCTTTTTCCCTGAGCCGCGAGCCGAAGAAGGCCCTGCCCTGATGCTCTTGGGGCTGCTGCTGGTCTGCACCTGCGTGAGTCTCTGTGGGCTGGCGGTCGGAAGCAGTCCCAGCTTCTACTCAGAGGCACGACTTGTGTTGCTTCTAGGCTTCTGGGGTTGAATGCCTCACACTTTGGAGGATTTATGATTCTTAGGTTCTTCGTCGTGTCAGATGGGTATCTGTGCGTCGGGTTCAGAACCTTCATGTTCTGTGGGATGGGATGTCTAAGTCTAAGCCCTACGTTGCAGCTTGCCAAGAGATAGGATGCAGAAGAGCTGCGGGAGTTCTCGGGCCTCCTCTAAGCACAGGTCACTGAATCCCATGCGGTGCTTTTGCTTTCGAAGCGCAACAGTCTTCGCCATAAAGCTTTGCAGCCGAGCAGCCAGGTCGAAGGCAAGACGAGTGTCTTGGCGAAGCTTGAGGGGTTTGTAGTTGGTTGTTCGACACCATGGTCCCCTGTTTGCACTGGAGTCGTACTTTTTAAATTTCAGGAACATTGCTTGGACACCGCTTTTCAAGCCTGCACCTTCGACACCGTAGTGGGTTTCAAAAGGCACCTGTCACTACTATAGTATGAAATAGTCCGGCGAAAAAATGGCTTTGCGTCCTCCATGTGCCCAGAATGAGATACCGGACCCCTCGAAACCCAAAGCTCCATGTCCACGAAAGACCGAATTCAAGATGACGATGTTGCTGGCAGTGATGATGGCAAGATGGTCGCGAGAGTTGCGGCTTTGGTGATTGACACGTCTTCTTGCTCAGTTGGCTCTTGCGTCTAAGGTATTTTCGTCCGCCTACCGTTCTTCTTTGTCACCCAGGCCGGTTGGGGCTCAGGGTTGGGTATTGCCAGAGTTGGGGAAGAAGGGCTTCTTGATTTACACTTCACGCATTTGCCCTGTCTGGTTAACGTTCTTCGTTTTCGCACGCTCTTCACGTGCCCTTGCTGCTTTTAATTCATTCATGCTCCAATTTGTGCACCTTTGCCTTTTTGGGTCTGTGCGAGTTGTTCCTCCTGGCATTATTTTGCATTTCACCGTGCAGGCTCGTCGCCACGAGTTCTTCATCTTTGCGCTGGTAGAATCGCATTTTCGTGGGCTCCTGCCAGCTCTTCATGTTCGCCTATTGACACCTATCCTGTTTACGCTTTATTCAAGTGGGTTGCAGTCTGTTCTTCATTGTCACATGTCAGCTCCATCCTGCTTGTGTGCCAGTTCTTTGCTTTCTGCCCCCCCTCCGCTTGGGGGCTACTGGCAGCTGTTCGTCTTAGCATGCGTGTTCCCGTGTTTTCCCCTGATCACATTTGCGTGGACTGTTGCCTGTTCTCAATTTTCGAATCGTTGTCCCTCTCCTCTCTGTGGGGCTTGCTTGTCAAGTCTTAGTCTTAGTCTTAGTCTTAGTTTTCGCGATCTTGCGTAAGTGGGTTGCTGCCTGTCCTTCTTTCTTGTAAGCTCCTCTCCACTTCTCGAGCAAAACATACCGGGATGCCACAGCTCCAAAAGCCCAATCAGCCCCGACCTCGAACCTCGGGTCCTGGGTCCTGCGACTTGAATGCTACTGGTAGCTGCTGGCTGAGTTTAGGACCATGCAACCTTGACGAGCAACTTCACGGCATCTTTACCTGCGCAGGCACTCTTCAATGAACTTTGCCTTGGACTGGGTCCGGTGCTCAAGGTTTTGAGCTTGTGAGTATATCTTCTGATGAGTTGTAAGCCTCAGTCGCACTTTCAGGCGTGTGTCCCAGCTCGTGGTTCAAAAATGATCCGTACAACATTCGGCGCCATACACTTCTTGCCGAGCCGGGCAAGAGACGAAGTCCTGAAGTCCCTAAGTCTTGAAGCAGAGCTACTGGAATGAGCTTGAGGCTTCGACATTCTGTGGTACCCCCATCCATGAAGGCGGGAGTATGGCCTAAGGAACCGATGTGTGTTTGTCAGTCTGTCTGTGTGTAGGACCGACTCAACCCTACACAGCTACACACCCTGGATCCCCAACACTGGGGAAGCGGCGCTTGAGAAGACCTCACCTTTTGGCCTGGCTGCTCCAAGCTCTGAGTCCCGATTCTTTCAGCTCCAACTACGAGCTCCACTTCCCTAATCCCCAAATACACCCCCAAAAGCCCCCATAAGCCCCCAAACCCTAAACAACCCCAGCAAGCCCTGATGAGCTCTAGTGAACTCGAAACATCTCGAAACTGTGGGCGTGTTGATGTCAAGCTGGATGAGGCCTCCAGCTGGCCCGCTGGATCCGTGGCGATGAAGGCATCTACATGGGGTGTCATCGCGTTTTTGTTGAGTTTCTATAGGTTGTTTCGCATCATGTATTGGGCCTTTTTCATAGTATTTTGGAACATACTGTGTCAGAGGCGGGTTATGCAATATTTAACAGTTTAATAGTTTGAGTTGCAGGCGGCCCTTGAAACAAGCTCTTGGTCCTCGTGCCAACAGTCTCCGTTAAGTCCTGGTGGTCCAGGCAATTTGCCTTGGCATGCCACCAAAGATGAAGCGATCCAGCACGACACGTCCGCCGACTGCACTGGATTGCGGACACTGAGCCCTAAGCCACAGCTTTACGTCCTCACGCTTGGACCAGCCATTTGAGGATGTTGGGTTGGTGGTTCGTAAGAAAGTTTGGACAAATCGTGCGCAGGCGAGGCGTGGATTCATAGTATGGCATACAGGCGCCGCCTCCTGTGCCAAGCCCTTAACCTAGCTCCCAAGCTGGAGGCAACACAAAAACAACAACATCTCGAGGTTTAGAAGCCGAGCTTGCCGTTCCAAATGGCCCTAAAGGAAGATTCCCTGGCCGGCCGGCGAGATCCCGGAGGCCCTGCAGAAATACCGCGGAAAGCCAGGCCGATGGAGGGTGAGGTTGCCCAGACCCTAAGCCCGTACATAGCCCTAAACTTCCTAAACCACAAGCTCTAACCCTCGCAGTCGTTTCTCGGGGCGTAGCGAGGCATATCATTTTGTGTTCGACATGTCACTGCGAGAACATCTGCGTATCTGTCTATCTTTCTTTATATCTCTCTCTCTGAATCTCTCTCTCTCTCTCTCTCTCTCTCTCTCTCTCCCTCCCTCCCTCCCTCCCTCCCTCCCTCTCCCCCCCCTATTTGGGAAGAAAGATATATGTACAGGTATATTGGTACACACAAGCTAATTGTATCAACAGGAAAACCGCAACAAAGATTGGTGGAAAGACAGTCATTGCGCCGGGGCGTTGGAAGGCTTTGGGCGTTCATAGGCCGGTTCAGGGCATATGGCGAGCAAGGCTCGCTTGAGCTGCGTAGACGTAGGGCATTGCGTTGCGATAATGTTCTGCATGTTCCCACAGGCTTTATGCCCCCGAAACCCTATTATAAGTATTCAGGCCCTTATATTATATAGTATGCCCACTTTGGGACCGTTAACGGACGCAAATCTCATCGCATGTCGGGCTCAGCGGTGTGATCTTGGGGATGGCCCTAGTCTCTCGCCGTTTCGGGTGATTTGCCCCTCTTTCGTCAAATGCGCTGGTATCTTTGGAGCGGTTGTATCCCCCATTCTCAAAACTTGTCAGTTTCGGTTTCGAGCTGCTGGCATCATTTTTTTGCTGCTTGTCCCTTCTGTTGAGTCGTGCGTTTTGCAATTCTTTCACAAATGGGGTTCAGGGTTCCGGGATTCTGTTCACGGTCCAGGAAAAGAGCTGAGAGGTTTCAGGTTTCGTGGTTTGAGAGGTTTGGGGGATTTCGCATGTTCGGGGTTACCAGGTTTTGGAGGTTCATTAGGTCATCAGGTTCAAGGGCTCCTCGGTTCAGCGTTCATCGGTTTCCGACGTTTTGGGGTTGGCCTGACATTCATTTTAAGCCTGCTTTTCACTTTATTTAATTCCCTGTGCCCAGCATCTCGTTTAGAGCTCCAGGCCCAAGACCGTCGTCGGGGCTCGAGCTCTCTCACTACGCTTCGAAGCTAAGAGCCTAGACCGGACAACCAGGGCCCAAAAAGCAAAAGCAAGACGTCTTCAGGACAGCCCTTCTTCCTCAACCATGTGACCGGCCGCCAGCGATGCCGCTCGGGCGGGATCAACCGGGCAACTTAAAAGGCTAGCCGTCCTAAGTTCTGAATCTACAACCAAGCCCGAAAAACGCTAAAACCCTAAAGCCAAAAAGCCCTGAACCCGCAAACCGTGAAGCCCTGGAGCCTCAAACGTCTGGGTGTTGGATGGGGCCATGGCCTGGAGGTACTTGTGTGCAGGGTCTTCGGATTCACTTGGCCCTGGTCTCTCTACAGACCTTGCCAGGCCTTATCCGAGTGTGAGTGTCAAACAAGCTGTCGAAGAACATGCAAGGCAAAGCCGAGCATAAGGTTAGGGAGAGCTGGATGGATGCCGGCGCTTTGGGTTCGGGGTTTGGCAAAGGCGCGGACTTGGGGGTTCTTTTGGAGGGGTTGGGGGTAAGGTTGAAAGAAGTGTTGCGGGGTTTAGGACCTTCTGACACAGGTTCGGAATCCAACAGGCTCCGTCGGTTGAACTGAGCCGCCCTCAAGCTCTGCCGAGGTAGTACTGTAGAGGAAGAACCTTTGAGCTTTTCGGGGCAATACAAGTCCCGAAGGTTCAGCGCTTCACCTTTGTTCTCCGAGTAGGCGAATACAACTACAAGTTATTGGCAATGTGCCGCCTTTGGTTTTGGGGTTTCTGGCCAACTCTAGGCTTCTGAGGGGCTTTGAGGTGTTCTGGGTGGCCCAGTGAGGACAAGACAGGGTCGGCTTGGGGTTTCCTGTCGAATTACAAGCCTTGAGCGCGGTCCTGAGGCAAGGATGCGTGCATGCGGTTGGGGATGGGCTGCTTGCAAGCAGGAAGTCTTACGTTTGGCGCACGCGCTCTCGACACCGTCAGCCTTTCCGGCTTAGCTTGGGATGGGCTCTTTGGATCGTTTCCTCCAGGCGGTGAGTCTTCTCATGCTTGCAGTTGCGTCTTCATGCCCGAGGCTGGTAGCAGTGTTACTCACATCAGGCTGGAAAGGTAGGAGGGTGACACTTCAAGATGCTCCAATCATTGGGTTAGGGTCAAAGGTGAGGGCAAGGTTATGAAGGAGCAAGGCGAGATTGGCAGAAGGACAACAAACAGTCGTGATATCGGTAAAGGTGATGACAGCAGGAAGCATGCCATTCTAGCGGTTATTTGGGCCTGCTGAGCGTGACTTGAGGCCCAATCATTTATTTGTGTCTTTCGGCGTTAAGCATGCGGCCCAAGAGCAAGTCAGCCTCTGAGGCGTTGGCGCTCTTTTGGGCGTCTGGTTTATGTGCAGATGCATGGACAGAAGAGATCTGTCATCATTGGGCTTCACGCTGGATAGCCCATTTTTCCAAGATGCGGTTGCCGGCCTAATGGTCGGCGTCACCATCGTCTCGTGCCTTGCCTTCAAGTCCGACGTCTATCGTTCTGGGGTCATCAAAGCAACCATTGATGAAATTATGTTCCGGGAGGAAACTATTGCGTGGCACTGTCAAGACGAGCCTGTGTCGCGCTGCTGTCAGGTCTTTTTTTCTGTCAGGGCGTCTGCAGGGGATTTGGAGCTTGAGCTGGCCTGAACAAACCTGAGCTTAGGTTTATGTTTGCCGTCGAGCTCGTGGCAGGGTGGGTAATCTTCCTGCGGTGGTTCGACACCTTGGCCGCAGAGCATTTTATCGAACCGAAACGCCGTCGATTGGTATTGAGGGATTTATGAGCCAAAGGCTTGAAGCAATAGTCGGCGGGTAGAGTGTCAACCAACCGCGCTTGCAGTCTCAGGAAGTCTTCGACAAATCTGAAAATTTTGCCGTCTGCATTTTCTGGGACGTCCTCTTCCATTTGAATCTTGGTTGGAAAACAGAAATCCTCAACCCGAACACAGCCCCTGGCACAAACCCTACACCCTCTGAGGTAGAAGCCCAAACCCCAAAACCGAGCGGCAAAAGCGACATCCCAAAACTCACCCCTGGAAGGTAAGTGTGAGCGCCGAAACCCTGGGAAGGTAGAGCCAAAACGCCCTGGAAGCTCTCTAAGCCCTAACTCTTCTCTGCTGACGCCCCAATGCCCAAAAAACTTCGGGGATGAGGGTTCGGGCGGGCCCGGGCCCTTGGAGCAACGAATTGGGTCGGCACAGTGTGCAACAAGGCTTTTAGAGCTTCAGGGTCAAAAACTTAGGTCTTCGAATCGGGAATACAGGAGCTATCAGTCCAACCGGCGCACCGCAAGCGCAAATGCTCCCGTGCGGAGTCGCGCACATGCGCCTGAGTTGCGCACGCCCGGTTTGCGGGAGCAGGCCGATCACGATGTGCAGCGCACCCCTTCGGTCAACGAACCTCTTCGTGGCGATGGCTTTCTCTGGTTTTGGGTTGGTACACCCTCCCGCATGGAGCCCACTTGCTTAGACAACTTTGCACACGGTGGGTTTGCCAATATGCATCAAGATTTGCAGGCTTTTCGCCCATTTGAGTCAGGAATGTTGCGGTGAACGAGGAGCTTCCTGTTCGCGGATGGCTTCTGCCTCTTCGGCGAATGAGTTTACGTTTCCAGTATGTTATTCCCTAAAATCTAGTTTGCTGCCAGCAAGGGTCTCGGAATCTGTGTGTTCACATCGCTAGTTTTTCTGTATATGCATCCCCGTAGACGGTAACTTGCTGCACCAGTGTGCATGATTTTGCACCCGGAACTCTGAGGGTTTGGAGGGGTTCAAGCGTTCTGGTTTTGGAGGTCTACTGCTACAGGGCCGGTATGCCATGCCCAGTGTTGCTCCCAATGAGCTGAAAAGACCTCGTGAATTGCCCGTTCTTAAGATCATAGATCTTAGGTGTTGTCAACGATAGGGTCTTCGTTGCCACTTGGGGAACAGGGCTCAGTAATTTTGGACATAGGCCCCGGATTGACGCAATCATGTCCTTCAGGCTCATGCATGCATGAATGCATGCACACACACACACACACACACGCATCCATCCATCCATCCTCCCATCCATCCATGCGCTGTAAGCATGCATGCATGCATACATACATACATACACGTACTTCACAATACGTCTGTATATGTGTTGATATGTGAATGTATATGTATATAAATATATATATGTACATACATACCAAGACTCACATGCACACACCCACACACGCACATACACACATAGATAGGAAAACACATGCACATATAAGCATATAATAATGTATGTATGTATGTATATATCTTTATATACATGCACGGATAGATAGAGAGTAAGGTTTGTGTATACACACATGTTCCTACATATTCAGACTTTGGGTTTGAGGTTGTTGAATCCCGCATCTGCTGATCTCTGGCCCAAGCGGAAGGGAAACGGGTCTTTGGGTGTGTGTCGGCAAGAAGAGAGGCAGCTTGGGCACAAAGAGCCAACAGGCTCTGAGGCTTTCGGATCCGGTAGTTTCGGTCTGAGGCTCTCCTGTGTAACGTGTGGTGTGAGGGTTCGTATGTTTCCGCCTGTGCAGACGTGCAAAGTGTGCCTCAATAGTGGAGAGCTGTGGACAACAAAGTTGGTGCAATTTTGGATATGACCCGGGGCTGGCACGCACTGAAACAACTGCGGCATCTGAGTGCCGTTCTGCAAGCTGTTGCTCGGATCTTTCGCAAGTCGGGCCATTTTTTGTAAGTGACGACTGACCATCGGTTCTGCCGTTTGGTGGGCTTGCTTGAGGGCCCGACCCTGTTTTGAGAAGCTGCTCCTAAACCTTAAAAGTCTCCGTGCCAAGAATGTGTAGTTGTCTAACTTCCGCGCTGTGGAGTTCAATGTGAAATGATTTCAACACAGCCAGATCCTAAACGCTAACCAAGACTAAGCCTCTACAAGCCGCAAATCCCGAACCCCACGGTGGATCTAGCTTGCTGAATCCTAGCAAGACTCCTCGGCCTTGTCGGCGTGTTGCACGAGGGTTTGAGGGTTGAAGTCTTGGGGTTTAGGAGCCCTGGAGTCTTCGGGGTCTGGTCTTCTGTGGTTTTGGTTTTCAGGGCTTTATAGGCCTAGGGCACAAGAGAGCATCGCGAATGTGTTTCCACGCCCCGTTCCCACAAATGTCTCTGAATGCTTTGAGCCGGCTTGAAAGGTGCCATGACGATTCCGTTTCCTTCCCTGTTCAATTTATGGTACACGCGCGTTCACAGCTCCTAGGGCCCTTCTCATTCTTAAGGCCACTGAGCCTTGACGATATGGGATCGTAGGATGACTTCTTTGTCAACGTCAAGGACGAACTCCCTTGTCCCCAACCGTCGAGGCACTCTAAGTCCTGAGCTCAAAACCCCAAGCTCTCAACCCCTCGACCCCCCTAGCCCTATACCCTAAACTCTTACAGAACACACCTTGATTATTGGCAAAACAATGACCGCCCTTAACCCCAAACCCTCCTAAGACCCTAAGGAGGGGAAGATGCCCCAAGCCTTCTGAGCCCTGTGGCCCAGGAAAGCCATGGCCGAAGAGGGAGACGCACCCAAGAAGCGCACCTTCAAGAAGTGCTCCCTTACAGAATAGGTTTTAGGGTTTAGGTTTAAAGTTCTGGCCAGATTTCGAGTCCAGTGGCAAAAAAAGGGTTTAGGGTTCAATTCAAAGTTGTATGGTCGAGGGTTTAGTGCTGGTCTTGGTTTAGTCAGGCACCGCAGCCGTTGCTGCGCTCCCTATAACGCCGAAACTCGAAGCTCTGAAAGCCTTGATCCCCTAATTTGAATCCCAAGTCTCGCGGAAGACGTTGATGCACACGAGAATAGCCCGGAGCAAACTCTGCTGCTAGGAAGGGATTTGCCAAGAGGGGCGAGCTCGGCTCGGCGGGCCCTGGAGAGGGCTCCACGAGTAGAGCTTCCCGGGAAATAGACATGGCAACTCGGTCGATGCGGGCCTAACAGACCAGTAACTGACAGGTACTCCTACCGCGGCATTGACCTGGACAAGCTTCTGGACATGAGTAACCAGGACCTTCCCTCAGCCCCAGGGTTAACCGCTCTAGAATCATTAGAAATTCTCACAGGCTGTAGGGTTCGCACCCTCAGGTCTAGGGCAGGCAGAGTGTTGCGGCTCAGAGACTATCTTGATATAACTACAGCATACCCTGAAGAAAGAAACCACCATGGCCATGGCATCGTGCCTGATGCCAGGGAAAGGAATTAACCACTCTGAGGCCTAAGCCCAACACTCCAAACCTGGATCTGCGCCATACATCCTCAACCCAGACGCAAAAGCCCGGCACTGGAGGACCTCATGGAGCTGTTCTGCGCCCGGCAGCGCCGCAAGTTCAGCCGCGGCATCAAGCGCAAGCCCATCACTGTGCTCAAGAAGCTCCGCAAAGCCCCTTGAATAAGGAAGGGGAGGGGAGGGGAGAGGAGAAGCGGTCAAAGCGTTAGAGTTTTGATGGGCTAGAAGATGTTGAGGGTCTGGGTGCTGCGGGCTGAGGGTGTGGGGAATGCGCGTCTGCGATAACGCACGACCTGAACATGGATCCTCAAATGCTCCCAACTAAACAAATCAAGTCACAGACTTCCCCAAACAACAGCTCGAGACCCAAGTTCAAAAGTGCACCAGGCAAGAACAAAGCCCACGCTCGCCAAAGCAAGGCAAAGCGTGAGACCGCCTACGGCGAGAAGCCCGAGGCCGTGAAAACGCACCTCCGCCCCCTCGGCTCGTTATTTGGTCTTTGGGGGACTTGACATGAAGGGTTTGCAGCTGGCGGAACCAGAAAAAGTGACATCCTAGACGCTGCCGAACCCTAACCCGCACACCCTAAGCCAGATCTCAATTCCCTCCTCTTGCAAAAACTGGGTTTCAACAACGACATACAGCCAGGCAGTAAGTTTTCGGTTTTAGGAAAACTTTTTACTTGTTGCTCAAACATTCAGGCGCTTGCACAAGTCCTGATGCAAAAAGGAAAACTTGTAACGGACATTCAGGCGATTGCACAAGTCCCGATGCAAAAGAGGCTAAGTTTTCCCAGAGATGTGAGTAGGGACCATGCAGCGAAGGCAACATGGTTATTGTTCCCGAGATGATTGGCAGCGTGGTTGGTGTCTACAACGGCAAGCAGTACATCAATGTGGAGATCAAGCCTGAGATGATTGGCCACTACCTGGGCGAGTTCTCGATCACCTACAAGCCCATCAAGCACGGCCGTGCGGGTATGACTCCCGGCTTTTCAATGTGCCCTTAGGTTTGAGAGCTTTCGGTTCAGACGTGTCGTGACGACCGCATCCCAGAAACCCCTAGGCCCTAAGCCTTGAACCCAAGGATGGGCAAGAACTCGCAGTTTGTGCCGCTCAAGTGAGTGCGGTCGTTGGAGCAGATCTTGAAGCCTCGGTTGCGCGAGACGCCGGTTGAAAAGCTGCTTCGCGAGCTGTGCCACATTTTAGGCCTTTTGCGCGTAGTCGGAGCATCTCAGCCATACGACGACGACGACGACGACGACTTCTTATTGTAGTACTACTCCTGCCACGGGTGTAAACAATCACCAGTACTAATCTTGCTACCTAATCACGAATGAGTAGAGGCTAAATACTCGCGTTGACAATGCTCCAAAGATACGCTTTGGGGGTTGATGAATTAGCCTTGAATCTTCAAGGTGTTAGTTCAGGGTCTAGGATGCAGTCTCTCGCAGGCGTTGGGGATGCTCACGTACTCTTTCAGGGCTTAAAGGCTTAGAGTTCAAGCTCTGTCTTATACAAGGGCTGAAGGATTGGTCAACTGTTCGAGGCTCAGGGATGCAGGATGAACGGTTTGCAGGGTTCGGGGTTTCTCCGCGTGCTAAACCTATTTAGGCTGCGGTCAGGGGCATCCCAACACCGAGCCCCAAACTCTGAACCACACCTTCAACCGCAAGCCGAACAGCAGCGAGCGGAGAGCAGCATCGAAATCGTGGAAGGGGACAGACAGGACTGCCCACTCCCTGGCCTTTTCAACAGCTTCGAGGAGGTGCACTGGCCGTCTGAGTGTTGCCGCACTCTTTGGTCGAAGAGTTTGAGGCGCCTACCCCAATCCAAAGGTAGATTTGGCCGGTGACGTTGCAAGGCCGAGATGTAGTTGGCATCGCAGAGACAGGAGGTGGCAAGACGGTGTCGTACGTCCTGCCCATGATCATCCACATTTGTCACCAGGAAGAACTGCAAGCTGGCGAGGGACCTGTCTGGCTGGTGATGGTGCCCGTGCGAGAGCGTGCAAAGCAGATCGAGAGGGTCTGTCAGAGGTGTGCGTCGAAACGGCTTGCGTCCGCCACCAATTCGACCACTCGTCCATGTTCGTATCGGCGGGACCAGGTTAGCAGCATGCCGAAGCATCGAAATCGTCAACAGCGACGCCAAACTCGCAAAGCTGAAGGAGAAGCTGCGATGAAAGTCTTCAAGGAAGGCCCACCAGACAAAAGCATCATCTTCTGCAGGAGCCGCAATGCTGTCATCAAGCTGAAGCATGCTCTCAAACGAAAGCATGGTCTGGAGAAGCGACAGCGACTGCCTCGTACGATTCCTTTACGGCCACGTACCCGCGGACCAGCGGGATGTGGCAATCCAACAAGTCCTGGACACTGTTGTGTGTCGTGACAACCGGAGTTCCGGCACGGGGCCACGACATCCCTCAGGTGAACTACGACATGCCGAAAAGGGCAGAAGAGTATACCCGCAGGGTCGGACAACGCAGCTTTGGGCAGGCTCTTCCGCCTCGCTGATTTTGTGGCTCTGCGCTCGAAGGCCCCAGAAAAACATTCCTAGTTTGTGCTCTGTCGTTGCTTGTCACGGCATGCTTTGGTCGCAGATAGGATGTGGCCCCAGGACGAGCCATCACGTAATCTTGTAGCTTGCTTGGGTAGGCGACGGGAGTTTCTTTGTGAGTAGACCAAGATTCCCGACCTGGCTTCATGTCTCGGCATGTGGTGAGTCGCTGCAGAACGAGCTTGGTTGTCGGTCACGCTGGGCTCTCTCCGTTGTGCGAGGGTTGTTGCCTGGCTCGTAGGGTGTTGGCAGCCGTTGGCACCATGCAACCAGAGCCGCTGATTGATGCGATCTGATTCGCGCTGGATTGGGCAACAACAGACCCAGATGCCCAACCACACCTTTGTCCCTCCTTGGTTAAGGTGTTAAGTGTTGTTTTGCTGGGTTTTGGCTTCCTGCTTAGTAGGTGTATTCTCAGAGAGTTGAGGCATCTGGGTCCTTTTTCAGTGGCCGTGACACACATCAGCAAAAAGTTCAGAAGTGCCCCTGCTTTCTGCCTACTCGTATCACTGGGCTAGCTTGTCGAGTGTGGAGAATGGCCACTGGCCAGAGTCAACGGAACCTTGGTGGATTTTCGCGCTCCTCGAAAACAGGTCCGGATGAAACTCCAGGGTTGCGCTAAGAAGATCTGTTTGCAGACGCTGGATATGGGCACTTTTCCTTCCCTTCAATACGATTCGGTTCTACTGCTTGCTTGCTTTGCTTGCTTGCCTGCCTTGTGCGGGGCCATGACGTTTTCGGAGCTCCGTGCCCCACTTACGTCTTAATCTGTAATCTCTTCGGGGGCAGTGCCCATTCCCTTGCCGGGGGATGCTCTCTCTCTCTCTCTCTCTCTCTCTCTCTCTCTGCCGTAAGCCTTACAGAGAACGGAGCAGCACAGCACATCCCGTCACCAGCCAAGCCGCGAAGGTATAACATTGCCGAAGCGAGTTGCTTGCCGAAGAGCCGAGTATTGGTGTTTTTGGCGTATGGATGTTAACGCTTCAGGGTGGTAGGGCTTTTCGGATAGAGCAGCGCCTACAGTCCAGAGATGTCCAGCCCAGGTTTATGGTCGCACTGTAGGTGTTTTGATTCCTGAGTGACGGTTTTCTCGGGGTGTTCGCAACTTTCCGATATTTTCAGGGATTGTTACTTGTTTTGGAACTTCATGCAAAGCTGCGTAGCATCCGTGAAGCCTCTGAAAGGTCCGAGCGTGAGCGCATAAACCACCAACCCGGCCCTATGGGAGAGGAGCAACAGGGAATCTTGGCTCCTTGCATCTTGCTACAGGATTTCCAAAAAGACCGCACAACCCTCACAGAGATCGTTCTTGTATAGCTCCACCCTATCAGAACACTTTTGCGCACACCCCAAAGCCTAAACCCCAAACCCAAAATCCGAACTGAACCTTACAGGTGGGAGGGAAAGCGCTAAACCCTACACCTTCAGCTCTAAGCCTCAAGGAAGGCTTAAGGTTTCGGGTGTGGGCAGGCTTCAGGGTTTAGAGGAGGCAGGAAGGAAGAGGTCCCCACCCTAATCCCTTAACGCCTTAACCTCTTTGAGGTATGGCACACTGGCAGTTGCCGGCCACGGCGGCATTTCTGTTCGCCATGGTGTTGGAATCCGTGCCCCATCTTTTGGTGGGCTGAGTTTGACTTCAGAATCTGCGTTTGGGGACAAAAGTTCACCGAGTTATCAAGATAGGTAGATAGATAGAGGAACAAAGATATACATGTAGCAAAAAGTTGAAGTCACCTACCGAAGGTGCCGAGAGCCCGAGCCCGGACTCATCCTAAACCGCCGGATCCGCCTGCCTTTTGGACACCCGTCTGAGATTATTCGAAGGATCTCGTTTAGCTTGCTTCGTGCGGCAGTGTAGGGTTTGTAAGCATTGGAGACTTCATGCTTAATCAACCTTGCCCGGTCAGAGTGTTACCCCGCAGCTTGAACCCGCAAGGGTAAACTTATGTTGAAACCAGACCACTCCCAAGGTGTTCTTCGTGCTGATGCACCTGCCGTCGCCCGGAGGAACACGCCCTCTGAGCATGCCGCCCACATGCAGAAAGGCATAGGGTTGTTGAAAGTTTGAGGTCGAGGCGTCGAGGGGAGATGGCAGCCGTGATTAGAAATCATATAACCCCCCCTTGGATGCTAGTGGTGGTTCAGCAAGCCGTTCACAGTTAGAGCATCAGGCGAAGCACAATACGTCAAAGTTTTCAGAAGTGACGTTTTTGAACCGACGATAGGCTCCCCAATTCAAGAGTACATTCTTGCCTTCCTGTTCTGCAGCACCACAGGATCAACATTTTCGTCGGGGGGATGGCTGGCGGGCTCAATGTGCTGCTCACCGGCGGCCGCCTGGGCGGCTTGGCACTAGTCACTAGCCGGAACTTCCTCAACTTACACATGGGTGGTTGTCAAAATTATGGTACTTTTTTACGTCCCTCTTTGTCATACGGCACCTATTATTTAGGGTACCCACAAAGGGACCCTAATTTTGACAACCCCCACATCTTTGGGCAGCTGCATCTCCCCGAAACAGCACAGTCCAAGGGCAGTCACAAGGCTCCCACACTCGAAGCCTCGAAAACTTGAATTCCAGGCCTTCGGCTACCGAACAAAGTGCCCAGCCAGGTTTCGCCCTCGGCTGGCACTTCGGTCTGGCCCTTAAGGCTTCAATTCTACGACACTGGCTTGAGGTTTAGTGTGGATTTTGGGTTGGCTTGTTGGTTCAGGTTTGAGGGTCATTGGTCGGTTAAGGGTGGATGGTTGAGGTGTCAACATGCTCTTCTTGACTCTGCCGCCGATCTGTTCGCATCTCGCATTGCCAGCATGCCACATGCTCTGAACGGATAGGGTTCTTCCTGCTTCCACCACAGAAGAAGCCATGGATGCAGCCGTTCTGCTCTTTCTCTACATCTGGGAGGGTTGCATGCAGGGCATCGCCTTCGAGACGATCCCGGCCCTGCTGAGGAAGAACCCTTGGGCCGTGAGCAGGGGAGAAAGCGACGAAAACGAGAGACTTTTGAACTATTCCGAGGTGCCCTTTCAAATTAAGTGGCTGCTTTGCTTCCTGGTTGAAAGGCAGGGCTCCGTGTGGCGAGTGGAGTCCCGGGAGTCGAAGCTTGTGATACTTCTGTCTCTGTCGGGCTTTGTGTTGCTGGCCTGTTCCAACACCGTCGTGGAGATGCTCACGTTGCAACCTCCCGCTCTCTGGTCGCTGGTGCCGCTGATCAGCATATTGGCTGCACTGACAGCTTTGGCAGACATTCTGATGGATGGCTGGGGTGTGGAGAGGCGCGATGCTCGTCAAACCCGGGTTTCTGTTCAGTAGCATGAAGTACCCACCACCGTCGTAGGATGTCATAAGTCATTGGAATCTTATAGGGGATGCATGTTGACGAAGTCGGGTATGGCATTGTTAGTAGTGTCAACTCTCGGCTCCAAGTGTCGACTGATTGGCGGCATCCAGCTGGGCGGCAGCACTTCTGTATGATCGGGTTTCGTGACTTGACTGAGCATGCAACCCTGCGCTTCGCACGTTGTTGTTTGGTCATGTCCTGTGTTTTCCCGAGGCTTCGGCCAGAGCACGCTTCCTTCTGCCAGGGTGTTGGCCTGGAGCTCGGCTGCTTGGGCGCCAACGCGCTTTTCTTCCACCTGAAGGATCCTCAGACCATGGGACTCCTCTCGGTGCTCTTCAGGGCGGCAGGCATGCTTTCCGTGGCTATTGCTGGTTGTTTGTATCTGCGAATCCCTGAGGAGAGCAATGCGGCAGCTCAGGGACAGGGCTTCCGACGTCAAGTCACGGAAGTGTTTGGGTTCCTTGCAGGGAGTGTCAGAGCAAGATACTTCCTGGGGCTGTTATTGCTGCTGAATCTCATCAATGGCCACGTGGATTTTCAGAGCCAGCGCTACGATGCCGTTGGCTTGACACCAGAAAAGCTGGCATTTTCCAACATGCTGGTTGTACCGGTGTCCTTTTGCACAGCTTACTTCATGGGAACTACAGATTGGCCAGCACACCGTCTCAGGTCACTTTACCTCGGGCTTGTGATGCTGAACTTCGCATCCATTTGGCATTTGAGTGCTTGTCGAACTGCGAAAGCGGAGATGCTGGAAGCTGGCAGCTTGTACTGGACATACGCAGGCCTTGCTGCAGTGCGAAAACTGATCAGCGATTCGATCTTTGTGCTTGAAGTTAGCATAATCAACAGCCTGGCTGCCACACGCCCTTTGATTTCTGGTTCAATCATCTCTGTGCTGGCGAGCGCCTCCAACTTTTGTGGCTCCCTGCCGGAGCAGTGGATGCCAAGTGCCATTGACTCACTTGGCCTCGAGTGGACTGTCACCATACACACGGCCCTGGGACTGGTTGCCGTGGCGCTGCTGGTCCCTCTCATCGACTAGCGGAAACAGTGCCCTTTTCATTTTTTCCCAGATCCCTAGAGCGTTGAACAAAGAGCAAATGTAATACACAAGGTTTTGAAAGGAGAAACACCCATGACCACCAAGTTGAGAGCAAACCAAGTCCTAAGCCGTAACACTAAAAGCTAACATCTGTTCACTCAAAAGCGAATCCTTCAGCCCTGTGCTCCTAAGCTCCCAAAGACAACGTGGCGTCGCCTTTCAAGTCCCATGCCGTCCCCGAAGACCAAGACCCTCAAGCCCTTGAAACCGTGCGCCGGAAGCCCCTGGCAAAACAGCGCTTCGACGCCCAACATCTTTGGACGCAAAGAAATCCCATTGCAATAACAACTCCAAAAAACTGAATGCCTGGATCCAAGTCCGAAGCGCCGGTATCCCGGTATCCCAAAGTCAAAGCCTTACCGCAACTGTCGCACTAAAGCCCTCTATCTTTGTCTTCTCGCTACTTGTGGTCTCGGGTTCAGGGTTCGGCTTAGTCTTCAGGGCAGGAGATAAGACAGAGATAGATAGACAGCTGGCACGTAGGCAGATAGATAGATGGGCAGGAAGAAAGATCGATAGGGTTTTTGTACCTCGGATCGTTGGAGGGGCGAGTTGCGGATCCGACCTGCTTGCAATGCAAGGCCCCAGCTACAGGCACTTCCAACTTCAAAGATGTTGATCACCTCAATCCGAAATTCGAGAGGAAGGGGAGTGGTGTAGTCATGTGTTGGACAGTCTTTTTCGGGAATCTGGGTGATGTCCCAACTCACATTTGAAACATGGAAACGAACACAAGGCATGCTGTAGGTGATGTTCTGCCGATCTGGATCCTTGTAAATCTTGAAGCCAATGAGCCAAAAGCCCTGTTAGGTGTGCCCGGGCACTGCTTGGGTTGGTCTTGAGCTCTTAAACTTGTTCAGGGAAACCGATGATCTCCGCAGGGGGACCCTCTGCCAACTCCCAAGACAGATGCACCCAGGCTGGAACATCTCAATGGGCAATGTCTTCGGCATGAGCACGAGTGGCATTCCCATTTCAGCGGCCCGGCTGAGAGCGGCGCCGGGCGGCGATAAGTCACATCCAAAGAGCAGTCGGTAGCTCTAGGCCCGTCCTGGGACCCAAAACTCAAATCCCCAATCCAAAACCTTAACTCGAAACCCCAAAACCCCAAACCTAAAGCTTCAACACTCCAAAACCATAAGCCATAAGCCCATGCTCTGAAAGCACTCCTCCAACTGGGCCTTGGCTCAGGGCTTTTGAGTCATCGAGGCTTTGGGATCTAGTCTTTTCGGGCCGTCGCAGTTTCGATCAGTTGCGGACAGGCTTCGCATGTTTGTTGTTAATCTGTGTCCTTCGTGTTGCCTCTGTTATTTAATGGCTGCCGCCACTGTTGCCACCCCAAAATTTCCCGACGCCGCGGGAGCATGCTGACTTACGTACTGTATCTGTATGGCCTCTTAGTCAGAGTATGTGTCGAAGTAGTTAAGCTTCACGACGTCTGCTGCCCCTCGCGACAAACAGGCCCAGTCAAGAACCAAGTAGTTAATTGTAAACTCAAGCGCTGCAGAAAAGCACTAGCCGTTTAGGGTTTAGGGTTTGGACAAGAAAAGTCGGCAGCATGGAATTAAATTACTCAACTACCAGTTGTCTACACTGTCGCTGGATAAGAAAAGGCCGGGCAGCGGGCGGTAGCGGGACGGGCAAAGCGGGATTGTGGATGCATTGGGCTCGAAGTACATTACTCAACTACCACTGCTCTACGCGGTCGCTGGAGAAGAAAAGTGGTGGGCGCCGGGCGCTGGGGGGTCTGGGGGTGCAAAGGGGGTTTGGGCATGCCTTGGGCTTGAAATACATTATTCAACTACCACTATTCTACACAATCGCTGGACAAGAAACGGGCTGGGCAGCGGAACTGGGGTCCGGAGGGGCAATGGGGGGTTGGGCATGCATTGAGCTCGAAGTAAAGTACGCAACTACCACTACTCTACACATCCCAGGGGGCCACAAGGGGGTTTGGGCATGCGTTGGGCTCGAATTCAATGACTCAACTACCACTGCTCTACGCGGTCGCCGGAGAAGAAAAGGGCCAAGGAACCCCCCAAATGGTAATTATCTCAGATACTCTGATTAGAATAACCACAGAATAGTACGGGTAAGTACCTAGGCCCCTATATGAACCTCATGAGGGTTTCAAGGGAAGGTAGTATGGACAGAGTTTAGGGTTTATTGTGTTTCGGGTGTGTTGGGTTTCGGGTGTCGGGTTTATTTGGGTTTAGGAAGGTGGCTTGAGAGTTCAGGAGCTTCGGGATGGAGCTTAGACCGTTGAGGCTGTTCGCGTGTATGCAAAAGCTGTTAACCTCTAGCCTAACAGAGGGGACAAACTAAAAGCAGTCTGAACCCTTAACCTGGCAGACGCACTCAGCCCGATTCACTCAAACCCCAATTACTTGTCCGCACGCGAGAACCCCAAACCGCAAAGCCCGTAAACCCCAATAAACTCAAACCATAAACTGCCAGACCCTCAACTTGTGAAACCGAGAGCCTCAACACTAAGCCCAATTTGAAGCCCTGCACCCTCCAACCTGAAATCCCTGAAGTCCTAAACCTAAACCCTTTGAACCCTAAGCCCTAAAACCCTGAAGCCCGAACCCTGAACCCTAAAGCCTATTACGTAACTTGGATTCCAGGAGGGGGATTGAAGCTGAAAATATGTTTATATAGCTTTCATGATTGTGCCCTTCCCCGGCTAGTGAAGTTTCACCTCATCCGGCTCCACATGCCTCGCCTGGATTGTCCGAGTGTGAGCGCCGAAACCCTAAAGCCCTCTCGAGCGGTTTGCTACCTGTTTGTGAAATTCTCTAGTCCCTTTCGAGCACTTTGCTCCCTGTTTGTAAGATGTTCTAGTCCCTTTCGAGCAGTTTGCTGCCTGTCAGATCCTCTGGTCTATTTCGAGCGATTAGCTACCTGTTCGTCAGACTCTCTAGTCCCTTTCGAGCGGTTTGCTACCTGTTACACAGATTCTCTAGTCCGTTTCGAGCGGTCTGCTACCTGCTTGTCAGATTCTCTAGTCCTGTTTGTTAGATTTTCTAGTCCCTTTCGAGAGTTTGTCAGATTCCCCTCTCTGTTTCGAGCAGTTCGCTACCTGTTTGTGAGATTCTCTGGTCCCTTTCGAGCGGTTTGCTACCTGTTACACAGATTCTCTAGTCCGTTTCGAGCGGTCTGCTACCTGCTTGTCAGATTCTCTAGTCCTGTTTGTTAGATTTTCTAGTCCCTTTCGAGAGTTTGTCAGATTCCCCTCTCTGTTTCGAGCAGTTCGCTACCTGTTTGTGAGATTCTCTGGTCCCTTTCGAGCGGTTTGCTACCTGTTACACAGATTCTCTAGTCCGTTTCGAGCGGTCTGCTACCTGCTTGTCAGATTCTCTAGTCCTGTTTGTTAGATTTTCTAGTCCCTTTCGAGAGTTTGTCAGATTCCCCTCTCTGTTTCGAGCAGTTCGCTACCTGTTTGTGAGATTCTCTGGTCCCTTTCGAGCGGTTTGCTACCTGTTTGTCAGATTATCTTGTCCTTGTCGACCGTTTTGCTACCTGTTGGTCAGATTCTCTAGTCCCTTTCGATCGGTTTGCGACATGTTTGTCAGTTTCTCTAGTGCCTTTCGCGCGATTTGCCACTTGTTTGTCAGATTCTCTAGTCCCTTGCGAGCGGTTTGCTCCCTGTTCGTCGAATTCTCTAGTCCCTGTCGAGCGGTTTGCTACCTGTTTGTGAAATTCTCCAGTCCGTTTCGGTTCGATCGGTTTGCTACCTGTTTGTCAGATTCTCTAGTCCCTTTCGAGCGGTTTGCTACCTGTTACACAGATTCTCTAGTCCGTTTCGAGCGGTCTGCTACCTGCTTGTCAGATTCCCTAGTCCTGTTTGTTAGATTTTCTAGTCCCCTTCGAGAGTTTGTCAGATTCCCCTATCTGTTTCGAGCAGTTTGCTACCTGTTTGTGAGATTCTCTGGTCCCTTTCGAGCGGTTTGCTACCTGTTTGTCAGACTATCTTGTCCTTGTCGACCGTTTTGCTACCTGTTGGTCAGATTCTCTACTCCCTTCCGAGCGGTTTGCCAGATTCTTTAGTACCCTTCGATTGTTTTACTGTTTGTCAGATCTTCCAGTACCTTTGAAGCTGTTTGCTACCCGTTGGTCAGATTCTCCAGTCCCTCTCGACCCGGTTGCTACTGTACCTGTTGGTCAGATTCTCTAGTCCCTGTCGAGCGCCTTGCTAGCTGTTTGTGGTCCTCTTCGAACGATTTGCTACCTGTTTTTCAGATTCCCTAGTCCCTTTCGAGCGATTTGCTACCTGTTTGTGAGATTCTCTAGTCCCTTTCGAGCGGTTTCAGCATCAAAAAAACACTGAGACTGGCCGGTTTGAACAGGGACCAGCAAAACTCGAGCGTGCAAGGGAACACCGCAGGCGTAAGGGTGCGATCCGAAGGAAATGCTGAAGGAACCCTCAATCCGAACACCGAACCATCTGAGGCCACTTTCATCTCGGTGCTGCCTCATCCGGAGAAGGAGACCTACCATGGCGGATGCCTCAAAGGGGTTTTCGGGCTTCAGGTATAGGGTTTCGATTCGCCCCGAAGTATTGAGCTTTTGTGTCGGCAGGCTTCAGGATTTAGGTTGTAGAAATCTGAGTTTGAGGTAGTTAGGGTCTGTTCGGGTATTGTTTCGGGTTTAGGGTTTCTAATCGAAACACAAGGATGCATGGAGTCTTGTTCGTTTTCAGCACGCCAGACAAACAACAACAGGTCCCAGACACCCCCTAACCTCAGTCCTTGCGGCATCCACAGTCAGCTAGCCACATCCAGCAAGACACATTCCAGACTCTCAAGGTATCGAACGGAAGCTGCAGGGCAGCCTTAAACCATCCAGAGGAGCTGTGCATGATCCGCATCCTGGTGCAAGGTGGCGTGTTTGGCCCAGAAGGTGGCGTGGTCTCGCCGGCGGCCTACTCGCTGGGTGGCCCCGCAGCACTGAGCGCCCGAATCTTTTGGGGGTGGGTTGAGGCCAGGCCTTGTGGAAGCATCTTCATGGTTTCGGTTTGTGATATGTGCTAAGAGCTTTGGATTTGTAACCCAAGCGACCAGTCGCAGTGAAGCTTTGGCTGCTTTGTGTACTAGTGAGAGTCCAAACCTTATACTGCAAATCATTGTAAGTTGTAAATGCTGAGCTAAGCCTTAAAGCCCATACTCCAAACTCCAAACTCTAAACGTTGGGATCTCGACTATGCAACTCAGGTGTCCTTCTGCTCGCGTGGGGCTCGGATGGGCGACTACGTTTTGTGCAGCAGCCTGTTCTCTTGGCGGTTGGCCGAGGTGTTGATCTACGGATTGCCTGAGAACATGGCGACGGCGCTGATAGCGACGTGATGGTTACAAAAAGGAGAGGCCGTTCGACACGTGGAACCCCCAACGGGCTTTGAGAAGACTGGAAGCACCTGGCGATGCAACAGCTGCCTGCTTGCTATGCTAACAGGACCATTGCAGATTGACTGTCGGCTTGCAGTCCCGTTTGCTTTCCATACTGTAGTTAGGGTTTAGGGTTTAGGGTAGAACTTCTCCAAACCAGTTCTAGTCTCTACAATGGCGCATAGAAGCTGTAGATCTTCGCGTGCGTTCGAGCGAGTTACGGCTACATAGTGCCCCTGCTGCTATTGCGGCAACAAGGTGGGTTCAAGGATGTTGCGCGGTGGTGGTTTTCGTGGGTTCGATGTCGAAACCCGAAAATTGAAAGAAGAAGCTTGGCGAGAGTGAGTTTTAGGGTTGTGGACTTGCAAGCCCTGTACAACCCCCTGCCCAAAAAGCAACAGCAACAGCAGAGGCGGCAGCAACAGCAACAGCAACGGCCAGGCCAACAACAACAACAGCAACAGCAACAGCAATAGCAACAGCAACAGCAGGAGAAGGAGCAACGGCAACGGCAACGGGAACAGCAAAGGCAGAATCAGCAACAGCCACAGCAGCAATAGCAAGAGCAACAGCAACAACAACAGCAACAAAAGGAGCAACAGCAGCAACAGCAGCAACAACAGCAGCAACAACAACCGCACAAGCAACGACAGCAGCAATCATGCAGCAGTTCAGGTAGGGATGAGAAATCTGATTTCGGATGTGACCGTGCAAGACTGTTTATTGTGAGTGTGAGCTACTTCCAAGAATATCAACTAGCAACGTGATCTTCTAAGGATCCCTTGCCCCAGGTTTGTCAGCTCTAAGAAGCCCTCGTAGTCTGATCAAATCGAGGCACGACTGGCCTCTGTTGGATGCTGTCGCGGCCTCTTCCATTGCGCGCTGCAGTGAGTTCGAAGGGCAGGACTGGCCGTTCCTTTGGCGTTGATGAGGGTGGTGCTCTGAGTCAACTTCCATTCAGGGTGCTGATTACATGAGTGACGTACTCTCCATAAGATCTTCATCGCCAGCTGTATTGGGTATGACCCTCTCTACGAAACCCCACGGAAGCTACGCAACTTGACTGCCATACAACTCCTAAGCCGTCTCAGCACTGTTTCTCTTAGGTGGGGCTTGCCCCGAACCCCAGATCTCGAATTCGAAACCCTAAACTCGAAATCCAAGTCATGAGCCTGAAGCTTTTAGCCTTAACCCAAACCATGAAACGCCAGACCATGAAGGCTGAACACTAGGCGCTACACCCCGCATCCACGAACTCGAAGCGCAACACCCGCAACCATGAACCTAAGCCTACGGTAGAAAGTTTGTTTCCGGAATTGCAATGCCGACGTTCTCGCCGACCTTATGGTGTTGGGCTTCAGGGTTCCAGGGATTCGGGGTTTAGGCTCAGGCAAGCCCGCTCGAAACACTCAAGGTTTGGGGGGAGGGTCTAGACTCTAGAGTTCAGGACTCAGCGATCACGGCATGGTGCTGGGCGAAGCTTGAGGACCTGCGTCAGTGAGATTCTCTGCGAGTATCCAGGATATCTTCATTTTAGAGGCTTAATCTGGAGGATTCTGGCCAAGGAAAAGGTCTTGGCTCAACCAGGTCTCCAGTCAGGGCTGAAGAAGGCTTGCTCCGACAGGTGAATGCAGGGTCTGCTCACTGGATTTCGCGGGATACAAAACTCCAAGACCTTTCGCACCCGCTCAGACCAAGCCTGCACTTGAGACCTCACATCCAAAGCTTAACCCCCCCTCTCTAAGCCTCACACCCTGAGCCCCACACCGTCTGCGTCTGGACAATCTGTAAATGGGTCGTTGAGGCTAGTTGGGGCTGCCGGTTGTGGCAAGAAAGGTCTGTCGTTCTGCTATATACCCGCCAAGAAGAAACCCCTCCAATTACTGAGGCCCCTATCGTAGCAGAAGTTGCTCTAAACCTGACCGAGTGCGAGTGACCTAATGCCTTAGACCCTCAACCCGAGACTCCCGGCAGGCTCGGAACCAGGAGTTGTCAGGCGCGCGGTCCAAGACGGGGGCTTTAGGGGGGGCTCTGAAAAGAAGCAGTTGAGGGTTGATGCTCCAAAACTTTTAGGGCTTGGGGTTTAGCGTCACTCCGAAACTTTGTAGGGCTTTACCGCTCAAATTTCAGGGTTCATTCTTAAGTGCAGCTTGGGTTTCATCCTCTGCAGCTTCAACGAAATTTCCACGGTTCGTGTAGCGCAGTGACTTCAATGGAGCGCACATCAAAAAGCTGGATTCTCGAGTTTCAGCCGTTCGCCGCCCGAATCAGACCCTGTGGCCCTAACCACCAGCTCAATTGATTACGACGTCGCTTCCGCTTGTGCGCGCCTGCTTCCCGAACCTGCAGCAGACCCTGCAGACCCTCAGGGCCCACGGGCTCTGGATGTATGAATACTGTAACTAGCGGAACTTCTTAGACTCAGGGGGTTCAATTTCGGGGGCCTGTAAACTTGCTGTATAGTGGAGGTCGACTGGCACCTCATTTGCAAGTTTTTCAAGCCGGCATCTTAAGCTTCTAAAGGCCTATATCCTTGTAAGCCGCAAACCTGCAAATCCTAAGCCCCTAAGCCCTTGACCCTGTAGCCTTTTAGCCTCAATCCCTCCAGTTTTTTTCAGGTTCAGCATATCTCGTGGTTAAAAGACGGCCCCAACTTGTACATCCCATTACTCTAGCCTTGCGCCTCCGCCTGAGCCCTTGTGCGATTCCTCCATGCTGAGATGCCATCTCCACCTCAGTCGTGGCTGCGATAGACGACTTGGGCCCGTAGAATGCCACTTCCCCAGGCACGATCCTTTTGGGCATCTCAGCCTGCAGTGCTTGACTTCTGAAACTCCCTTGTTTTGGACTGCATGCGGTTCTGCTATGCAGCCTGAAAGCTTGCAGACGGCGGAACATGCCCAAGCCCCAAGCTCCAAGTTCTCCTTTGGGGGCTGAAGCCTGCAATCCTAGCCAACGAACGAATGTAAGCCGTGATTCAAAGAGGGGCAACCAGAATCAGTAAGTTGAGCTCCAGAGACGGCCGAGGTGTCAAACGCAGTGCGGGCATGGGCTACCCTGCGCCACCGCGAGGTTACCGGAGGGCCGTGCTTCTTCGGGTTCGGAGTTTGTGGGTTGTAGGCCGCCCTGGGCTCCAGTTTTTGGATTCGAGTTTGTGGCTGCTGGATTGGGGGTGGCAGGGTGTTGATGCGGGGGAGGGGGGGGGGGACGGGGTTGTGGAGGAGCCCGACGGCAGAGCCCCCAAGGCCACTGATTGAACTCCGATTTTGACCGTGGGCCTGGAGCTGACAAAGCCGTCGTGTCCAGGCTTCGGGTGCTACACAGGCCAAACAACACGACAACCACGAGTTTCAGAGTCTTGCCTTTTAAGTTAAAGGTTGTTATTCCTCCACTCGGATTCCTGTAGTGCTCACCTTGTGATTTTCATCCTGGGTGATCTTGTTGGTCATGCCTGCAGCTTCTGCTTCTGGCATCTTCCGGCTCGCCGGGCACACTGGTCCTGGTACTTGATTAGTAAACAGGGGGTACCTTATTTTGGGGCCCTTATAGTAAGCATCCTACTATTTAGGGTACTATATTAGGGTCCCCTATTTTCGGAAACTCCCAAATGACGACTGCGAACAAAAGACTGTCCTGATGGCAGAATCAGAAGCAACATGTGCCAAGTTGCGCCATCTCCATCCTAGCTAACGGGGACGTGGCAATTACGCCACGTTTGCTGCTACTGCCGCTGCCGCTGCTGCTGCTGCTGCCGGTGTTGGCGCGTCTTCTTGTCTGATTCCTTCTTCTTGCGTAGTCACTGTCCAGGGCCTTGCTCTGGCAGCGATGGCAGGGGCAGCCGTGCGAGGTTGGACCCGCAGCGCGACTTAGGAGGTACAGGAAACGGAAGTCCAGCACTGTCTCGGGCTTGTTTCCGAAACTCTGTTTGGCTTGGGTTTAGGGTTTACGGTTTCCGCCCATGGCAAAGGTACCCGAGGGTTCTTTGGAGGTCCTTTTGTCAAGGTGTGCCCAGCTTATCACACCCAAAGCCCTGACATGTGAAGAACTGAGTGTGAAGCCTCCAACGAAGGGAGCCTGGAGGTTAGTCGCTTCAGCTTGTTGGTTCTAAAGCAATGGTTGTGTGCTTGTTTTGTTGTTTTGGCATCTGGGAGTCCCGAGTCTTGTCTTCAGGATTTGCCACGGGTTGGGCCTAGGGCCTAGGATATTGGACCCTGGGATTCAGAATTGAGCGTTACCATACTTCGTGTAGGGTTTCGGCTCATTTTGAAGACGTCAGCCCCCAATCTGCTTTTTTGGAGGAGTGGCTTGGGCTCCTGAGGCTGTCGGGGTTCAGACCATCAAAAGTGCAACGATGCCATGAGGAATGTTGCGGTTTCCAACTGACCCCCAAGGATTCCGCCCTGACCCTACCAAAGCGGTTCCACTTCTGCCTAGACCCGATAGAATCCGAGGATGGGAATTTTACGGAACTTCCTTAGGGTTTAGCTTGTCATTGGTTCCATGCATTGGTGAGCCATAAATTTCGAGGATTCAGGATGAATTATTGTTTAGTAAGTTACTTCATGTGTACAGGCTTTCTTGTTTTGCGGTTAAGGGCTTCGGTTTTCTGCGTTCACACTGGGGCACTCCAGGCGAGGCAGGTTCGTGACAATTCCCAGTTGAAGAACCCGAGCCCAAACTACCAAAGATAACACACAGCCACCGACAAGCAGACTCCAAGGAACTCGACCTGCACAAGTTCTTGCCATGAAACTGTAAACTCACCCAAACAACTCAAGCCTAGGTAATGCCACCATTCGGTTTTTGCATCAGAGTGATACGGTTGATGATGTAAACTTTGCGTGACCTTTATGACCCTGGACTATGGGAATGATGGTGCATTTTATATCATCAACCGTATGAAATAGCCCCGTGTCAGTTTCTCCGGAAGTAACTCGCAGAGCTGCTTTAGAGCTACAGCAGTTGGGGAGTTTGAGATTTGCATTGCGGGGCTCCAGGGTCTGGATTCTACGAACGTTTGAGGCTTGGGCTTCTGGGTTTGGACTTGACAGTAAGAAGCTGTCGTTCGGGGCACGCGAAGACCCAAATAGCTTAGCAGTCAATCGCCACTACCCCTGAGATGCCAGATTTGGGCTGTATGCGCCTTGAAGCCAACACAGTAGCACCGTGAATTCAATGTATAACCTTGCCCGTCTTGGTCGTGTTTTCCTAGATCTCATGTCCTTCCTCTGGTTTCGCGATACTGAAACGCGCAGCGATTGCGTCAGCGCGGTGTTGCATCTGCGAAGCTGAAAACCAAAGGTCACCATGAGCTTGCGCTCAAGACCCGAGCATGGCTTGTACACATCGATAAACTTTTCTAAGCTTTTTGATTAGCGGGGTGTCCGAGCCCGTATTTTGCAGATGATGTGACCTACTCTTGCAATTCATGGATGTTGCCTGCTTTTGCATCCCAGTTGACATGATGCTCCCTTGCTCATCAGTAATGAGCGTCATGATGTAGTGCTACATTAGTGGCGGAGGTGAGCAGTGCATGCAGTGGTTTTTTCATCTGAAGATTCGGCCGTGGTGTGATCTGTGCCGCAGAACTCTCGTGCAGGACATTAAACACCAAGAAAGCCCTAGGCTGCAGGAATGTCGCAAGATGTAGAGCCCGTTCATGAACTTGTGGCAAGCAATTCCCTGGCTTCCCCGGTTGTTTGCATTTCAAACTTTCAAGACCCTATTTTGAGCTGATGAAACAGACGGCAGCAATAAAGCTTGGGTATCCTGAAGCGTCAAACCAAGGCAACTTATTGTTTTGCTGCTTCATTGCACAGCTTAGAGTTTGGAGCTGTTCCCTTGTCGTGAATTTGGGCAACCTGGCCCTTTTGAGCCTTCACCTCATTTTGCAACGTGAAGGTTTTTGGGGCTTGGATGCTTTATGTT